GACCCTAGCCTGGTGTTCAGTCGTCCATTAGGATATTTTAGGTCGTGACGGACCCTGGCTCTTTATATATTAGGAGGCCAAAAAAATACCTAACTATCCAACTAAAGTTAAGTAAAACATGGCATGTGCATAAAATGAAATATTCTATATCTATTAAAATTTTAATTTATCAAAACAGTAAAAAGATCAGTGGTTGCCAGGGGTCAGAGGAGGGAGGAATGAATAGTTAGAGCACAGAGGATTTTTAGGGCAGTGAAACTATTCTGTATGATATTATAATAGTGGGTACATGTTGTTATATATTTGTCAAAACCCATGAAATGTACAACACCAATAGTGAACCAGAATGTAAACTATGAGCTGTGGTTCAGTAATAAATGTTCCACTCCCATGTGAAGTGTTGATAGTGGAAGCTGGACTTGTTTGAGGGAAGAAGGTATATGGGAAATCTCTGCTCAGTGTTGCTAAGAACCTAAAAATGCTCTAAAAATAAAGTTTATTTAACAAATAAAGTTTAGGAGAATAATCAATAACACAGAAATAGTTATGATAGATTGTTGAGTAAAAGAAAGCAATTCGTAAAAAATTGAAGAATAATATACCCAAATGTTAAAATTTAGCTTCTTGATGCCATATAAGTCATTTTAAAATACACTTTCTTAGGGCAATGAACACACAATACAATATACAGATGATGTATTATAGAATTGTACACCTCAAACCTATGTAATTTTATGAACCAATGTCACCCCCAATAAATTCAATTAAAAATAAATAAGTAAAAGTTTATTATAACATTAAAAAATATACTTTTCTGTATTTGCAAATTTTTCTACAATTAACTTGTATCATTTTCAATACAGGCAGATTTTTTAGGACTTTCCTTTAAAATGTCACCCAGTGTCAATTCAGTTATTGAAAAAAGGTGTGCATGTTAAATAGAAAAGAAATAATCGCTGTTCTGAACGACACTTCTAACATCTCCAGAACCTTAAAAGAAATCTCACCAATTACTTAAAGTCGGCTATCTTTGAGATATCATGCATTTATTCCACAAACAGTTTAGATCACCTCTCCTAGGTGCTGGGAATCATCAGTACCTAAGGCACACACTGAGAATTAGGAGACCAATCACAACAAATGAACACATAAGGAAGGAGATGTTCTCAGATGGGACGCCCTGGGGTGGGGGTGGGGGTGGACGCACTTTAGTGGAGGGCTGGAAAAGGCCTCACTGACATTCCAGATGACACAGGAAAGGTGAGGAGGAGCCCATGAGGCATAGAAGCAGGAAGAGTATTCTAAAGAAAGAAAAAGAACAAGCACCACAGCCCTGCAATGGGAATAACCCAGGTTTATTTCAAGGACAGCAAGCAGGCCAGTGAGGCTGGTCATCAGTGAAAGTTGGGTATTCACCTCTGCATCTAAAATGCCTTGAGGTTATTAAACAACTTTATCCCTAAAATAACTGGTTAAGAATCCAGGCTTTGGGACCAGAGAGGCTGAGTTGGAATCCAGCTTGGTCACTTCTTATAGATGGATTGTGAGCTGGCCATCTCCTCTCTGGACATGCCCTCCTCATCTGTAAAATGGAAGTGACAGTATCTACTGCAAGAGCAGCTACAAGGCTTTAAAGGAGAGGATGATCATCTCAAATGTTTAGGAGAATGTTTAGCAGACAAAAAATGCTAAATGAATGGTAGGTGGTCTTGAAAGTGATCTTTAAGAGACTAAAAATAAATAAATAAATAACCTCCACTTTGTTTGAATCACATCAATATAAATAAATTATATCCCAGCTGATCTGATGCTTTTTCAGTTATGTAAGTACAGAACTTCCATTACAGTGTTACTTTGTCAAGAAAAGCCAATGAATCCCCAGCTCAATCTTTCTGGCCCCTAGAAAAGAAGAGGGAATTGCTTTTCATGTTCTCTCCTTGACTTTTCTATAATATTTGGGATGATAGTCCATCTCTCCTCCTAGAAATTCCTCTCTTGACTTGGGGACATGATTCTCTGTCCTTTCCCATTTACCTAACTGTTCTTCTCTACCTTGGATACCTCCTGTTCTTCCCATCTTCTAAAAATGTCACCAGTTCCTAAATGTTTAGCCACGCCCCTCTTACCCACAGTACCTCCTCGGATGCTTCCCTGCTTCCAGAGGTACTCACAGTGCTAAATCAGATTCTTGATGTGACACTTACCTCATTATACTATGTATTATACTAAATTATGTCTTATCTCCCCTATTGGATGGGTAAATTCTTGAGAGCAGGATTGACAGCTTAATCATCTTTCTGTCTCCCTTAAGACCTAACAAAATCTCTTGAACATAGTCACTGCTATAAGTAACTAAGTGGATAAGCATATAAAATACTTTTACCATTAAAACAGAGCCTTACAAGCACTGTGGGAAATTTTCCTATTTCTCTCAAATTAGCTTATGATTTGTAACAAGGAATAAGAGATACTGACTGTATGTACATTTTACATATTTTCCTACCCTATCTAATAAAAGAGTAATATGCAAATTAACCATCACTCTGACACAAAGATGGCGGCACCCATAGCCACAAGATGGCAGTGCCCAGTCCTCTCAGCCCTGCTGGAGTCCTCCAGTCCCAGGGGGTGGCCGCTGAGAGCAGGGCCTGCTTGGCCATCGCCGCAGCGACCTGGGAGTGGCCAAGCGGGCCCCTCAGACAGCAGAGAACCACAGGGAGTGGGCCTAAGCTGTCAGTAGGACATCCCCTGAGGGCTCCCGGATTGGAGGGTGCAGGTCGGGCTGAAAAACAGCCCCCCACCCCCCATGCACAAATTTTGTGCACTAGGCCTCTAGTTATGAATATTAATATATCAATTTTCAATTGACATGCTAAAAATTATAACAGCACTTACTATGTGCCCATTCTAAGAAGTGTATATGCACTAATTCACTCTATCCTCCCATCAACCCTTTGTTTTAGGTACTATCTTTATATTTTTCATTTCATGAATGAGGTAATAAGGCAAGCAGTTAAAGGACTTATTCAAGGTCACACAGATGGACAAGGCAAAGCTAAGATTTGAACCCAGGCAGCTTTGGTCTCAGTCTGTGCTTATAATCCCAAATCTTAGCTAAATAGCCATTCACCATAAAAATCTAAATCTACATAAGCATTTTTGAACTTATTTAGAACGTTTTATGGAAACTTGTTATTTATAAGTAATATAAACAAATATATCTGTATTAACTACATCAAAGTTCTGGCTAAAGTACACATATATAATTTACTAATGCATATTTCATAATGTCACTTTTGCATTAAATATTACAATATTTTAGGCTATTTTATCCTACTTCTGGATACTTAAAGGTGTTACCAGTCTTACATGAAATCTTCTTGACTATCTTGTGAAATTTATATTTCCATATAGATTTTTTGTATTCTATATTGATTTTTAAAAGACTTTTCAAAGATTTTTAGAGAGAGAGGAAGGGAGAAGGAAAGAGAGAGAAACTAAAAATATTCATAAATATGTAAGATAAATCATACTAAGGCTACTTAGCTCTAGGTGGCACAGAGTACAACCACAATAATGTTATAATCATGTTGAAAATGACAATTTAATATATGATGATAGGTTTTTAAAGGCTATCTACATTTAACCTTAATTTCTTATCACTAGAGAATAATCTCTACTATTACAAAGTTTACTTAATTTTCAGATGTTGTTATACTTTAAGCTTTTAGTTTAATAACCTAAACATGGTGATGGAAAAATTCTACTATTAAAATGCAAAGTGAAATTTTAATCAACAAAATTCTTAAAATGTGATTAGCCACTGTCAGTAGGCCTGACTTCTCAGCAGTTTTTATTTGTTTTGTTTTGTCTTGAGTATTTTTTGTGTTGTTTTCTTGCAGCCAAGAAAGTAAGGATTTATTAAGCAGATGGTCCCATGCCCAGAGTCACAGACAGCTAATGTTTAAAGACCTGGCTCCTCAGTAATTAATTTTTTTAATTATTATTATTATTTTATTGATTTCAGAGAGGAAGGGAGAGGGAGAGAGAAATAGAAACATCAATGATGAGAGAATCATTGATTGGCTGCCTCCTGCACACTCCCTACTGGGGATCAAGCCTGCAACCAGGGCATGTGCCCTTGACTGGAATGGAACCAGGGACCCTTAAGTCTGCAGGCCAACACTCTATCCACTGAGCCAAATCAGTTAGGGCAGTAATTAATTTTTGAAGAAAAATTATTTCAGTCTTTGCCTGACCAGAAGTAAAAAACATTCAAGAATGTTCAAAACTAAAATCCTATCAACTTGAACTATAAAAGTAAACTTCTCAAATGAGACATTTGTTTGCCCTCTTTAAGAGTGTAAAGTTCATGTACATATCTTAGATGCCAACAGGCTCATTCCCCAGGTTCTTGCACTTGTTGTTCGCGCAGCCAGAAAAGAATCTACACCCAGATTTTTTTCCACAACCTGCCCCTTTCCTTCATTCAGGCTCAACTCGAATGTCTCTACCTAGCAAGGCGTTGCCTGGCCAGCCCGCCCAAAGGGGTTGAATTGTGTCCCTCAAAAAGATGTGCTGAAGTCTTAACTCCCAAAATCTCAGAATGTGGCTTTACTTGGAAACAGGGTTGCTGCAAGGTAATTAGTTAAGAGGAGGTCAGCCCTTAACCCATTGTGACTGGTGTCTTTATATGAAGAGGATACACACAGACAGAGGCTCGAGGGAGAAACAGGTGAAGGAGGCAGAGATTGGATTTATGCTACCACACACCAAGGAATTCCTGCGGCTGCAGAAGGTAGAAGAGGCAAGGAAGGATCCATCTTGATTTTGGATTTCTGGCCTCCAGCACTGTGTGAGAATACATTTCTACCATTTTGCGCCACACCGTTCATGGTACTTTGTTACAGCAGCCCCAGGACACCAACATACCCACCAACAACAATAACTGCCCTTGCCCCATCGGTCACCTTTACTGCTGCCATCATTATGACTAGTACCTGAAACAGCAATGTGCTTTTTACTGGTTGTCTCCATTCATTAGAATGTCAGTTCTCAGAGAGCAGGTCCTTTTCCGACTTCAAAGCAGAGCCTGGAATATGTAGTACATGCTCAAGAAATATTCTGTGCAATAAATGAATGATCCTGAGAATGATAATCAGATAAAAGAATATCAGAATGATAATTCATTTCCAGTAACTGGAACAGCTATAAACCCTCCTATAATCTAATAACAAAGTCTAGTACCAGATTTATCTAGCACTGAGCGAGACTTCGCACCATCTTAACTGTCTGGAAAACGAACCTCGGAGATAAAGAAAAACAGCTTCAGCAAATGCATTCCTTACTCACTACTTCCAAGATGTGGCTGAAATAATATTACTTTTTGAACTAATGTTTTCTATGTGTCGGGAGAGGGCTCATCTCATGGAAATGCAGTAGAAGCCGGATGACTGATGAAAGGAGAAAGCAAAAGATCTTCAAGGAAAACAAGTGAAAAGAAAAGAATTCTGAGGTTATTTGGTAAAGGAGCAGTT